TTTTTAAATGCTGCCAACAAAATTTTCAGATTGACACATTCCTTACATTTTAAAGATTTAAATCTACTATTAAAAATGCAAAAAGCGGATCGAAAAAGTGTTGAACATTTTTAAACACTTGCCCTATCTATACAAATTATTATTAATTAAAAATGTTGGCGAAAGTATAAAAAATATTTTCCTTTCTAATAATAATTAATATTGTGTTTTGCATACATATTTGCGTATTCAACAAATAACAGTCTATTTCTTACTTTCTTTTTTTCACTTTTTCATATTATTAAGTCTAATTTTTAAATTGCTTTTCATTTAAACGAAAATAATAATATTATTTTTTTTATCATAAAATCATTTCGCAGTTTGTTATAGTACATCTTCAATATGTTTCTTGCAGTAAGGGTTATTTCACGGTTTAACTGGTAAAACAGTTCAAATAAGGACAAAACAACCCCTGGAATTATTCGAGAAGTAAATAGAAACTCTTTGTATGTACATGAAAAAAATACTTTATTAAAAATCACATTATCAAGAACCAACACAATTTGAAATTTAACTGTGAGTAGCGACATGTCCGGCAGGTCCAGCGATTGATGCAGCGAATCCATGATGACCATGATGATCATGATGGGCTACATGAACGACTGGTACATGAACGGGGTGGTGTACTGGTACTGGGACGTGATGTGGCACTGGCACGGGAACAGGGTGTGCAACTGGCACGGGAACAGGTACTGGAACTGGATGGGGATAAGCTACAGCGTGAACAGCGTGATGAGCGACATGAACATCGTGGTGACCTTCATGGTCTTGGCTTTCCAAAAGACCCTCTCCGTGCCATTGTCCATCATCGGCGTGGTGTCCGTAAACTGCACCATGGGCAAGTGGAGCTATCAAACCACCATAATGGGCTCCATGGTCTAAGCTTTCCAAAATACCTTCTCCGTGCCATTCTCCATTATCGTGATGACCAAAGATTACACCGGCGTTGGTGAAAGCAGCAAAGCAAGCCAAAACCACAAATACCTAAATCATAGTTATTATATTTTGTTGTAGAGAATAATTTTAATTATCGAATTGGTATATTACTTACCTTCATTGTTTGTAATGTGTTGTGTATGTCACTGAAACTTTTGATACAACTGATGTTATACAAAAATCTTTAGGCTTTAAATACTTGGTTACGACCTTCGATGTCTCCATGAAGTTTTGTTTCCTTTAAACAAAGGGAGAACAAGAGACTTTCACGTTAGAATAAACACAGGGTTCAGATACGTATAGGTATATACTCATGCTTTGTAATTTGAATTGAATATTTTAAAGTGTAGGTCATTTGATACTTAATTTGACAGTAAAGACGGAATGTAATGGAAAGATAACATTCATTTAGCGTGTTCCGCGTAAGTACTATTTTCCTTTAGTGATAAGAGTTTTACGTAATTTTCTTATTTGTTGGTGAGTGCTTTTGTACAAGTCTTCAGTCGGTTTCGTCAAATGCAATTAATAAAATAGTTAATTAATATTGATTAGGTCTTTTCTATATTCCTTAAATAAATTCAAACGTTATCACATTTTTAATTTTTATTGGTACTAATGGCATGGCGATAAAGAAAAAAAGTATTTGTCGGTAGGGACCGTATAAGTTGGGTTGCATGAATGTTTCTGAATTGTCCAAAAGTAGATGACCTGAAGAGATTAGCCGTTGTACTGACAAAAACTTGTAAAAAAAGTTTATTAACATCTACTAAATTACCAATTTTACCAAAAAATACTTTTTTATAATGGACTACCTTTGAGTGATTTATAGAAAAACAGCGTATTATGGAACTAGAAATACTTGTAATTTTCTGATATGTCATAATAAGGCATTTCTTTACCACCCTAAAACCTATCCAAACTTCACCAAGTTGAGTCCACGCTTGGAAATATTTTCTTAAGTTTTTTTCTGAATTTCTTGAAATTTCAAAATGAATCAATACTCAATAATAATGTATTCGTAAAGGCTTTAGTTGCTAGTTGGTGAACTGATGCTGTCTTGATTCGGGTTTAAAGACCATCGTCGGTTCGTAAAAGATCCTTCCATCTCAGATTTTGGATGTGGATGTTAGGAAGCAACTCAAACCTACGACGGCTTTTAGACATAAATTAGGACATCATCAGTTCAATAATGAAGTTTTTTCTGCGAGGAAAATTTGTAGGTGGTTTAGTTCCCAAAAAAATCAGTTCCTGGCGTATGAGAGAAAGATAAGAGATTTCACAAGAATTTTATTTTTATTATAGTTTCTCCAAGGCATTTTTTATCATTTGCCAAAAGCGTCATTAATGGAGGCGCCAAAATAATAACAATACAGTGTAAACTCTATATAACGACACTTAAGGGACTGAACATTTTTCGGCGTTATAAAGAGTGGTCGTTAAATGGAGAGAAATAAAAGATATTATTTTACTATTCTATAATAATATGCATTTACCAATATAGTACACATTTTGCACACGAACATTATTATTCATACATTGCGTATAGCCTGTTATCTTCGTCTGATGTTTTTTGCTGCTCCAATATTTTAATTGTATTTTGTTACGTATCTTACTCATATCTTGAGATACTGCTGGATCAATTTGATTATATAAAAAGTATTTTTTTAATAGTTTCGCTGCATCAAGTGCTTGTTTGATGCTTGGTGGAGGGACAGGATCGTCTTCTTCAACAACGTACACAGCTGCAGTTCTTATCTATTTCGGCAACTTAGAAAGTACAGCTCAATGATTTATAATGCCGCATTGTTGTCGTTAAATAGAGTGAGCATGAAGCTATATAGAGTGTAATATTATATGGAAAACAATGTAAACCAACCGAAGTCAAGCAATTTCGACGTTTTAAGGAGTTTGTCGTTAAATCGAGTGACGTTATAAAGAGTTTACACTGTAGTTTAATCCATCTGTTACAAATAGGCATTCTGCTACCTACTATGAGCAACGTTTTCAGCTTCTTCTGATTAATACATTGGAACTTCCAACAGTTAACAACACGATTTCCTATTAATCGAAAGTGAATTGAATGAGATTAGCAAGTTCAGATTGTACTATGAAGCGTAAGGTGGTTGTAATAAGGCGGATTTGGACTGACAATGGCGGCCTTGAACAAAACTGATCGGCCGACCTCTGTTTTCGTACGTACTTACGTACATTCATACATCCACTTAATACTGTTCGTGCACGACGGCATTTGTGGAACGGCTGGGCGATTTAATTAGATACCTATGAATGTTTTCATTCAAGAGAAAGGTTTCGAGATTGGCTTTTTTGGTTGACAGTCAAACTATGCAGCAATTTTTTTATGCGTTTCGCTGTTAGTCGGCAACAATAAAAAAATAATAGACTATCTAATATTGTAGGTAGTAACACACGGAATTGGGCGTGGATTGCGTTACTTAACGCGTGTCCGTGAAAATCGACTTGTTATAAATTTGTTACAGCTTCTTGGACTCGCTCAGTCGTAGCAATTGTTTGATGAGTGAATAGTGTCGATAGCTACTATGTCTACATATATAATTTATAGACATTACTATTTAGTATAACTCGTCCAAATTTCATTTTAATTATGGCGTTCCTGTGTACTACTGTAACTTAATGATTTCGTTGGCGTTTGGCGGTCGTTTAGCCACAGCCAATACTAAATTGATATGTTCACGTACATTACGTCAAAATATTGGTGATTTTTAATCAAATTATGATTAAAATATAACATTGTTTACCTATATGTTACCGGAAATGTATGAAATTTAATAAATGTATACGAAATTCCGAGGCTATTTAGGAAATCTATAAAACATTGTTTCAAAGATTTTTTAATACACACATATCCTGGGAAATGTACACATTTCCTAGGAATTGTATGAAATTCCGATATTGTACTAGGAAATGTATAAAACTAATGCTTTCTGTGAATAAAATGAATAAAACACGTTAGTAAACTGAGAATCAAAGTTATCTGTGTTTACGCGGTTCTTGTGTGATCACATTGGGTATGTGCATTGGTAACGCTATTGTTTGGTTAGGTTAGGTTTGGAGATTTATATGCATTAGTGACGTTATTGTATGGTTATTGGGTAGATTTATGACAGACTAGATTCTTTAATGCCCCTGCCCGCCGGTGGCATTATCACCTCCACAACATACTAAAAATTACAAGGTATTTGCTGAAGGATAACCTCGTCACATTATTCTATCATCTAACATATCAGCCCACTTTCGGCGGACAGAGGCATTAAAAAGCTGTAGTCTGTCATAAAATCTCCCTAACCAAACAAAGACGTCACCAATGGATATAGGTACATCTCCAAACAGCCTGGCGTATTATCGCCTATTTAATATTACTTGTAATACATTTATGATTGCTATTTAGGAAATGTATAGATTTCCTAGGAAATATGTCTAATATAATTTATTTCACACATTTCCGGGCTATTTTAGGAATTATATACATTTCCTAGGAATTGTATACAATGACGGATTTTTTGCAATTCATTTCATATAGGTTTAGATTCTATATTACGGATGGACACCCGTCTGATTCCACGTCTTGGTGGAGCATTTAGGCAAATTCCGGGAAAGTAATAATCCACAGATAAAATGTCACTTCTTTTGTCTTGTCTCAACCACCACCTACCCATTCCTCTGCGACGAAACTGAAAGTGATGGCGTTCTGCTCTAATAATAAGAGACTCATTCATAATTATACCACAAACAATACAATAACCGCGGAACATGTGTCATGCGGGTATTATCAACTTGTACCTTTTTGTTTGTTTACTGCAGACTCCCGTTTTCCTTTACAAGGCCGAGAAATTAACAATAAGTTGATTGTTCACATACAATAGCGTAGTTTTTTTATACAAAGTGAAAACTATTAGAAAACTACTGTAAAGCATAGTAATTATACGACTATTTAAACGAGTGAAATTATTTTCTACGCTTGTTGAAGAGCAGTCACTAAAATTTCGGCTAATAGAGTCTAAAATCTACAATCAACATGCTGTTTTTACTGTTATACATATATATGCACGCATATACGTGTATACGTACGCAAATATAAATGTGGTGCTTCAGGATTAACGTTCGATTATTCCTACTTTTATTTCGAATTGTTCAGTTGCATCGGAAACCAGAAGAGCAACGCTCATTTGTTTTGACATATTTCAATTTAAAACGTTGGGTACTTTCTGTGCTTGCTCGTGATATTGTACGATATATGTGTATGTATAATTGTATATGGTCTGTGTACATACATTTCCCTTCAGGAGAGCGACTTCACATTGGATATTTCATCTCATGTCGAGTTTTTGTTCCAGTTTAATTTAAAATTACGAGGATCTAGACGTTTAAGAGTACTCATGCTATGGGAAAAAATGAGCAGAAATCCTTGTATTATTTTTTTACGAAAAGAGTAAAAATTAATTCAATGCTGCTTTTTGGGGTTCTTCAGTCGAATGGCAAAAATGGATATCTTTTAGTTTCTTTATATTAATCTCTGGAAATGTATTTCGTCTGCGTGGCTTAATATTTGGCACAGATGCGTGGGTATTACTATAACAAAGACATCAGACTTGCAAAATAAATCCCCCATAAATTCTTCTCTTTTTTTTCCGAGCGTTTTGTCTTCGAACATGTCTTGACTAATGATTGTCACATTTTTTTAAGGCAGAAACGGGAGGGGTAGAGGTAGACCTAGATTAGATTACTGTTCGCAAATAGTTAAGGATGTGGGTTGTTCTAGTTTTAGGGAAATGCGAAGTTTAGCTCAGGATAGGAAAGAGTGGAGGTACGTGTCCA